CCTACCGGATTTCCAATCGCGTTTTTCGGATCCGCTTCCTCGTTCGGTCGCGATTCGACCTCCAGGTGTGCGTGATTCGCGCTCGTCTGACGACCGCCGCCTAGTCGTTACTTGCGCCGGGGTTCGACGAAGGCACTCGTGATCGCGACGCATATAGAATTCACTCGCTCGCCAGTTGTGGGCTTTTTATTTTTAACTTTTGCTTCCGGTGGAGTGGAACTACCTTGTCGGTTTCCGACTCTTCCGAACGAAGGTCTCCGTTCGGATCGGACTCTTCCGGTCTTCGAAGTTCGAGTCCGCTCGTTTCCTGACAACCCAATTTCCTCCGTTCCAAGAGAGGAAGAGAGGGGGGGGGGGGGGGGGGGGGGGGGTGAGGGGGGGAGGGGGGGGGGGGGGGGGGGGGAGGACTAGAGAGCGAAAGAGCCCAGACTAGAAAGAGCCCAAAAAGACTAGAGAGCCCATCTCGCGTGACAAGACTTGCGAAGTATCGAACGTGATTTTGCTCGAGTTCGATTCACGGTCTCAACGATCTTGCGCTCGCGATTCTCACATCTTATTGAACGGCGGGTATGTGTGAAAAAGAGCGACGACATGGTTTTCCTCTCGCGATCGCGAGACGAAAATCTATGAAGCTGAAGACGATTCGGAAATTGATATGACTTGGAAGATACTTTTTGCCCACTTTGTTCCCTACCGAATGCCATTCTAAATCGTTTCAGTTGAGAGTATCGACCTAAAAGCCGACCCTCTCCGTTCTTTTCCAAGTGGGTTTCTCCCCAGGAAAGCATTATGAAAAGCCGTCACCTCCAAACATGTTTCTCATCTGCCTGGGGGAAAATGCACTCCCTAACTCCGTCTCCCTCCCCTTTCCTCTCACCTCCTGCCTCGTTCCGCATTCTGCATATACCATTGCTTTGTTGAGACACATTCTCGATGGTCGACGCATTCAAGTTGCGAGTATGGACCTCATTCGAAAGCTTGCGGTATCCCCGTACCGTATCCACCTTAAGGTACAGGGGCTTATGTTGCGGGCGATCGATATGAACTTCCACGACGCGTTCCTTTCGGCTCAGGAGTTTATTACCGAATCGTTCGTCGCCCGGGATAACCAGGGCTGCAATAGTCATTTCACTTTCGAGGTGACCATCAAACCGTTATGATATTTACGCATCTTAATCTTAATCTTAATATTTGATAAAGATTAAGATGTTTATTAAGTGTTTGAATAAGTGTTTATTCGTGTGAATAAGTGTTCTTAATATTTGATGTGGCTTTGAAGATCGCCCTGAAGAATAAACACTGGCTTAGCCGTTGGCAAGGCAGATGAAGGAGTAAACACTAAAAGGGCACGGAAGCAGCCGAAGAACGAGGCGAACTCCCGTTATTTCCATTACGGGAGGATGGAGAAATATCAAATGACATATGGAACGTGCTGATGCTCGGTGGTAAGGAGTCGAAACGCGTAAAAACGCGTAGAAGCTAGTAAACGTCTACCAGAACGGTCGACTTAACATGGACAAATCATCGCTGGACAAATCGTTCATGGACAAATCGTTCGCTCGAGATCGTGGATGGAGTAAAGTCGATGAGTAGAGTCGATGAAACCGTGTTTGCTCAGCCGGGAGTGGAGTGGACTCATTAGCCCCAGTCAGCAGACTGTCATCGAATGGCAACCGATTCGGAACGAAAGGAAGCGATTTTCTCTGATCCACCGCAAATTCGAGCGAATCCGACTTTCTTCTGCTGTCTCTTCTTCGGTCTACGGACCGAACGAAGCAGTCAGGTAGTACCCGAAAGCAGCCGGGTGAACTGTCGGCCCAGGAGAATACCGCCTGCCGCCTGTCGGATTCGAACCTGGACCCTTATCCATTGAGCTACGGGGACACGGTTTCCTAAACTAAAAAAAAGTGCATGATTAATTTAAATTCATGCACTTTTTCGCATAGTGAAACGTATGATTCCTGGCTCACATGTACACTCTGGTTTAGTGAGGAAGACGGATGAAACGAGAGGCACGTTTTATTGCTTTGCTCTGGAGCATAAATGGATACAGGGTATCTAAAAAAAAGTATGCACACTTTAATGATAATAAATATATATGTTGAGTAATTCAGAGAGGTACAATGTTCAGTATGTGGAGAGGCAAGGTTGAATTGCATGGTTCCCTACCACAAATGTTCAAATTGTTCACCGTTAGCATCCAGGTACTGTTGACAGCAATGAGCAGCAGTGTAACAAACTTGTGGACAGGTGTCTGTTGGGATAGCAGCACAGGACTCCTCAATTTCATGCGATCGTGTGAATGCTTGCATTGCAACAGGAGCATTTTTCCCACCTGTTGATGTGTGAGGTCTATCAGAACATTGTGCATTACCGTACTGGCAGTGTTCTGGGAGAAAATGCACAGGGAGCTGATGGGAGACCATCAACATCAAACTTATCATGCATCCTTGAAAATTCTAGTACATCATGGTGGCATAGTTGCAAGTTCGTTTCTCCACCTTCTTTGCCCTTCACATGTGTTCTCAGATTTCCAGAATCACTCTTGATTCAAGTGTGTATACATTTTTGAGACACCCTGTATATAGACGGATTCTACACGTCTAAAGCCGTTTTTCCCTAACATCTCGAACAAGCCATCGAAGTCTTTTAAAATACTGTTTCTGAAATATATCAAAGCCATGGAGTATGCCATGTTTACATGTTGGGTTAGGTTAGGTAAGGCCATTTAGCAATTGGGTTAGGTCAAATAATTGACCTAAGTTTATGTGAGTAAATGGTAATTTTAGGTTAGGTTGCATCACTAAAGGTTACATTCGGTTAGTTTATGTTAGGTTGGAGCAACGGCATGATGATTAGATGAGGTTATTTTAGATAAGGATTTGTCATGTTTGGTTAGGATAATTATTGTTAGGTTAGGCTAGGTTAGATGTGGGTAGGTTAGGTTGGATTACAATGTGGTAAGATTAGGTTTAGTTAGGTTATATTATGTAGCTTTAAGCTTGGTTAGGTTAGGTAAGCGTTCAAATTTGGTGAGGTTAGGTTACGTTAATAGGTAGGTGAGGTTAGGTTGGGTTAGGTCAGTCGGCATTTCAGTTAGGCTTTCTTAGCGTGACTTTCACGTGACTTTGAATGGTTTCGATAGTGTATGTTTAGGCTTATTCAGTCAGAACAAGTTAGGTTTGGGTTGATCACTAATTGATTCGAATGGGTCATGTTACAGCTTTTCACAATTGCTAGAGTCCCATTTCATATCTTGGTGGATATTCTTCAAAACTTAACATAAGTACGCTCGTCAATATGCTAACGTACGGAGTAAGGAATGTCTGTTGGCAGCCAACAAAGACCGTGAAAATGATTATTTTCAAGATTCCCTCAATATCAAACTGCATTCCGGTTACAATATCAGTAGGAATAGAAGCAGAAAGAGAAAGAGAGAAAGAGAAGAGAAGAGAAGAGAAAGGTTAAAGAACCGTTTTTTTTTTTTCAAGTTAATTTCATGCGATAAAATGCATACTTCGGAACCCTTGGTATTCCTTCTTGTCATAGATTTCTCGCTTATGTATCATACGGAAAGAAAATAAAAATACGATAATGCGTGACTGAGGGGTGAACATCAACTCTCCTGAATCATGAAGATAATATACACGTGTATATCACAGCTTCTAGTATGGAAATGAAAAGAAATCCACTACAACGAATTGTAAGCCCCAAAAGACGCAATTTACAATGATAGGTAAACATTCTTGGGTTTCAGAACGAAGTTTTTTCCGATGTGTCAGAAAGACTTCTGGACCTAGGTTTCTCTTTTTTTCGAGCTTAATATTACAAGTATTTTCATGATCCACTTCAATTTCACAATTGAGACTCCCTGTTGGACGTACGGGATCGAGAAAACTATGTGAGCTTCTCGCAGCTATAGGCCAGGCTAGGGTAATGCACGATGCCCTTATGTACGTATCTGTGATTTCTCGATGAATGATGACTTAACGTACCCGCGTCAAAACTGCACTCACTGTTGTCAAAATTCTATTTCCGCTCCTTAAAAGTCAAAACAAAACGTCCTACAATCAATTTCTAACGTACCTGGCGTCTAAACTTAATGTATGATATGATTGCATTTTTCCTGAAAATATGATCATTAGCTTTTCTGTAGTTTTCTGTAGATAATGGATTATTCTTCCTTTTCCTGTATTCCTGTATATTTATTTAGAAACAAAGTTACTTGCAATCTTACTCGAAATCGGGTAATAACAGACTTGGATTGCTGTGGATGCAAATCACAAATCTAGGAATTTCCCCACATTTTCCCTACATCGTGTACGCTCTTTTGGAAGTCAGAATTTTTGCTAACCTGAAATGAGTTTCCCCTTGCAGCTTTTGTTTCCTCTTCCACGTCTGCGTTGACTACCTGCACTTTTTTGGGGTTTTTCCCCCACGTTTTGCATGTTTTCCTCCCACGATGGGAGGCTTCAATTTTGCCTGTTCGAGATCTTTTCATCATTTACCATGGAATCCTTGTTGGCAGAAGGTGAATGTGAACTATGGCATGGGGTTGACGGAAGACACCGAGTTGCGCGGAATCTCCCCCTTCCAGACGTCTTCCCTTGTCCAGACGTCCGTAACCACTTTCGGTGTTCTCTCTTTTTGCGAAGTTAACACTTTCTCTCTTTTGAGAAAACTGGTGCTGGATTTGGCTTTCTCTTCCTTCTGTCGCCTGTTTATGCGTGGGGATGAAGACCCTTCCCTTTCGACCCTTCACCACCCCTCCCCCTCCTTTTATGTGGTCCTATTTTCTTCTCTCCTGTCTTCTGATTGCGATGGTTCCACTGCAGCGTAGAGACGGTCTTCAAATAGCTTCACTTGTCTCTTTCCTCGCTGCAAGTGGAATCGGGAGCTTTGCATTTCTCGAATCCCAAAGAAGAAATCTTGGGTCTTCCCAGCCCAGTTCCTCCTCCTCTCAGAATCTTGCCTTCTCTCACTCAAGGACACTCCAGATTCTATTGCATGACACCAGGTTCTTCAATATTCAACTTGCATTTGAGGAAGTCTGCAATCTTGGGCTTCATGCCATCTGCCGATTCAACCTCTTGGAAGCCACGATGCAGAAATACTATTCCTCCCGAGTCGTATCTCTGTCCTGTCGAGGGATTCTTCTTCTTGCCAATGAATTCTTGCTTCATCTTGCATACCGGTGTCTCTTTCTTCATTGGGCTCAAATTCTTCTTCGTCTGATTCAGTTCATGTTAGAGTCATCTTGCTTGCTCTCTAGGTAATTTCTTTTCATCTCGCTTCATCTTTTAAGCTATTTTCTCCAACTCCATCTTCATATTCACTTGGTTCTGCTTCATTTCTGATTTTAGTCCTTCAATCTCTTTTACCACTTCCACCAATGCCTTGAGGTTTCTTAGCTGATTTCATGCCGCTATTCCAAACTTCTCTCGCACCGTCCTCTATGTTCTTCCACTAAAAGACAACATTTTAGACGGAGCAGGATAGATGTCGCCCTAAACAAGTGCGCTGCTTTAGCGTACGTAGAGAGACAGGGATGTGTCTTCATGTTATACATAGAGGGGAAAAAGTCCGGTCGAAACGATTGCATTCTCATTGAGAACCCCTTTCACAGCGAAAACCCTCATCAACAATGCCGAGTATGCACGAAATTGTAAGGTGGAATAAAGAAAGGAGGGTAGGCGGGAGTGAGGAATGGAGAAGAGGGAAGGAGGTGGGGGAAGTCAGCAGATGGAGATCGCACGAGAGAAAAGGAGGAGACGGTCACTATTTGAAATTTTAGTGATGAAGGTGGCAACGGAAAAAGGGGAATCTGGGTGCGAGGAATCGAAGAAAATGGCGAGGAATTCAGCAGGTGGAGGCCAATTGAGGGGAAGGAGAGAAATTTTTATTTTGAGAATTGGAAGAGGTAGATAGTTGAATTGGTGCCGTAGGAGGATAAGGGAGGGGAAAGGGAAAGGGGGAGAAGATTAGATATGGAAAGGGCATAATGGGTGAAAATGCAACCGGTTCCTAGGCCTTCCGTCGATGTCTGCAAGAAATCTTGTAGAATCGATTTCAATAGAAGTCGAACTTTTTTCCTGTAGTACCTTAAACTTCATTCACCTTCTCACAGTTTTAATTTTAACTATGTATGAGATAATTGACACTTTAAAAAGCGCACAATCTCAGCCAGTGAGGTTTGATCCTGTAAGATGGCTCAAGTAGACCATTCTTCACGTGGTGCCTCATGGGTCATTCTCAGCATCTGAAATCGCAGTTGTATCGAAAATTCTTGAGCTACAAAAAGGGAGCTCAAACTCCCGTTTGGAGAGCTGCATGGATTTCAATGTGTCTACATGCGAGCCCGCCAAATTGGGCACATCTTCCTTTCGGCAGAGGTAGAAGAATCAGAATGAAGCTTTTTTTTTCGTGAATTCTCATGAAGGCATGGCTCATATAATAGGTTTTATTCCCTTCTTGCGACAACAATATAAATAAAACATAAAAAAGATAAGAAGTCACCGGGAAAGGGCAGAGTGGGTCAGTCTTTCCGAATAGAAGTGGAAAGACTAATGTCGCTAGATGCTGCTCTCACGTTTCGTTGCGATACCGAGTTACCGAGAGATGCCTGGCAAATGATACCATTTGGAGAAAGGCTCACGAAGGAACCCAATTGGCCTACGTTTCTCTTTGGGACAATTGGAGGCCTTGAAGTTGGTGCACGTCTGCGACGCCTAAGAAACATATGAGGGAAGGTGATAGGCGGCCAGTGTTACGCACTCAATCGAGCGCATGTACAGGGTGGACCATTTATATCTGACACGTAATTTTTTTTGTAACAAATCAGGATTGGACAAAGTAAAGTACAAACATGGGAGATTGCTTGCATTACTTTGTTCAGTCCTGATTTATTATAAAAATAAATGTGTCAGATATAAATGGTCCACCCTGTAAAAATAGAAAAGGACGCACTTCGCTGAAAAAGGTGCCAGTGCCGCAAGACATCTGTATCCAATCGCCGAATAGGCAGATGTTGAAGGATTCACAACCTGGTCCTGCAACGTATCTGGACGACGTGCATCCTCCGCCTGCTGCGTTCGAGTCCGAAGGAGGCCGTGGCTTGGAAGTAGGACGAAGAGTGGTGGTGGTGGTGGTGGTGGTTGTGGTTGTGGTTGTGGTCGGCTTCGTGGAGTTCTCGGCGTCTACAACCACCAAGATCGGTATGATGCCCTCCTCTTTCATCGATTGTCCTCCTACCCCCGTCATGTCCTTAGGCTTGTCTGGCACTGACACCACTTCTATCCCTTCACCTATATCAAGAGGGAAAAGCATTGCCGGAAGAGGTTGCATTACCCGTAGTCATAATTGCATCTGCATTTATAGATTCCTATAATGAGACTAGGCGAGACATATGGAGAGGTACTAAACACTTCTGTGAGGGACGATTCCAGGGAAAGAGGACTTTTGTGAAAAGCGAGATCCACACCTCCATATAGTGGCCATCTAGTAGCTCCATCTAGTTGAAGTTCTCCTCCAGGAATTCTGCAGTTCTTCTCAACGTTGGGATATGCCCACATTGGGTTCACGTTGGGCCATCATCGCTCAACAGCATTCACGTTTCGCTAACCTTTCCCACCTTTACCCCACGTTGGGCCAACGTTGCGTGTTATCAGGACATGACACTTTGCATAAACTCGAGCGGTAAGTGAAGGGTGCAGAATGCTTTCCCGTTACGTCGCCGAATCCCTCGGCTTCGAGTTATGTAAAGAATATGGAACCTTATTTAGCGATTCCCTCGGGGTGATGCGGCGAGGCGTCTCTTGCAATTGCGGCAGAGTAGCCGACGACACACCCCTATTGTTTCCAGTAATGCTAGGATTCCGATTCGGGTGGCCTTGCGAGCACTTTGCGAAACCTTGCGCCTTGCGAAACTTCGCTCCCATTTGCAACGTGTCCAACACCGCCGATTCCATGCAAAACGCGAAAGCTCTACGCATCCGAGACCGTGGAGACTCGGAGATTCGACTCACCGATGGGGAGAGAAGAGGGGGAGGAGAGGAATACGCTCTTGATGACGTTCATTAGAGGGTGCTTCCCCTGATGACAAAGTCCCTGGAAATCGTCAAGGTCCAATGCCCAGACCATCGCCCCTGCGAATCTCTCCTTCACGATGTACCTCGTCTGCAACGGACGCGATGGAAACGATGAGAACGGGAGGAGACGACGAGACGGTCGCCGAAAGACGGTAGAGAAAGGGGGCCACCTTCATTTCGATCATGTTGACGTCGTCGAAAGAAACCCACTGGTTCCCCTTGTATGCAAACGGACCGATTCGATTTTGGGGGTCGGTGACGACGTCCCAATTCCCGCTCCGAAGGGACCGACAGATCTCGTAATAGGCGAGGAACCCAGGTGCCCTGGTGAAGGGACCGGCATCTCCCTGTCCGTACGCTTTGGCACTGAGGCCGGTGACCTGGGGACTGACCAAGTTGAAACTCTGGCCGTACAGGGGGAGCCCCATCACCAACTTCTCCCGACTCGCTCCTTGCTCCAGCCAGTATTTCATGGTGAAGTCCTGTTCCACGAAATGTGAGGAGGATCGCAATTTCCTTTACCGAAAAGTCGTCGGTGCTCGAGTCGACCGAGACCGGTCCACGAAATGTTTCTCTCTTCGACTTTGCGCGCCCTTTTTGTACCCTTTACAGAACAAATGTTTTTCATCGTTCTGATCATCCCTGCCGAAAATGTTTGGAAACAGAGAACCTAGAGCTCGAAGCCGTTTATATTAGAATTTTTGGGGACTCTAGCAGCTATCAAACCGATCGACGCGGCGCGTTACAGATCGACGTAACGTTTGTGAGGGACACAGGAATTGAAAAACGAGGACGAGCCAGATTCTTCCATCCTCGATGCAACAAATGCAGCCGTGAAGCAACAAGACGACTGACCATCCATCCTGCCGATCGGTTATCGTGCTCTCGTCCCAGAGTCCCCAGTGACCTCGAGTGGACTCATCGGCGGGTCCCCGTTCTTCAATTTCTTGTGCCAATGAAAAGCGCGGGAACGATCTCTGCACATTCGATGTTCATCGGGAGAGGTTTTCTTCGTCCTTGTCGTCCCACACAAAATTGAGAAATTCGAGGACTAAATCTATCTCCAACTTCATTTTCTTCGTTTCTGGACACTTTGAGCAGGATGACGGAACGACGACTCGATTTCATTTGGCGATACGAATAGGTGGGCGAGCGAAGTTTACGGGAGGAACTTTTCGCACGTTTGTGCGGTACGCAGCACGATGAAGTAACTCTTAGAATACCGAGGTCCACCAGCGAAATTTTAGTGTGAATGAAATCGGGTGAGGAAAAGATAGGATTCTCTCTCGTACAGAATTGAAATGATGGATGTCGTGGAGCGGGTGATGAAAGAGAGGAGCGACGTGACCCGTCTTTTTATCCCAGTGTCCGTGATAATCGTAGGTCATGACCCCGATCCAATCCAGGTTCCGATTCAGACTCTTCACGTCGTATCCCTTATCGATGATATTTTTGTTCGGCGAGACGGCGGCGGAAAGGAGAAGACCCTTCGGTCTGAAAGCGATTCTCAATTCCTCGACCAGCTTCGCGAATCCCTCCTTGTCGGAGTCGGGACCTTTGCAATCCGCCTGGAAGACGAGACAACAATAAATCATCCTTCCTCGCGCATCGTTCGAGAAACGAGGATTGCCATACGTATCACTCGGTGGATCATTTTTAGAATCCGTTCGCACCCTTCGACGGAACAGACACGGGCGATTCGTCGCATATTGCATTCATGTGACTCTCGAATCGGGATCACATCGGAACAATCTCGAGCAGCGATGAGCAACCTTTTTCGACTGCGGGCCGCAAGTGAACCTTTTAGGTTCCCGGCGGGCGGCATGTATTTTTGTAATACCAAATCACAGGCATAAAGCCTGTGATTTGGTATTACAAAAATGCCAAGTCTGCCGAGTACCAAAATAATCCTAAGCCCGGCTTTAGCATCTTCTATTTTACAATGATTTGCAAAGAACTAATTTTGAAAATTTTCTCATTTTACTGGGCAAAATACCAAGCAAGCCGCTTGCTCCGAGAGCAGTGATGCACGAAACAGTGATACATGTGTACATACAGTGATACATACAGTGATACAGTGATACGAGAGCAGTGATACAAGAAGTGAGCGAGGAGATTTTTCCAGCGGAAATATAGCATTTATGTTATGTTTCTTGCTTCCATTTCTCCTGCAGCGGGCAACGAAATCCTTGAGCGCACGTGCGCTCAAGGGTGCTTCGGGTGGCAGATGAGAGAAAAAAAAAATGAGTTGGCAAAGCCCAGCGAGCCGCACACCAGGACCTCGCGGGCCGCGGGTTGCTCATCACTGATGTAGAGGAAGATCCTGTCATGAATCGGCAGGAACGGACGACCGTCACTTGGCGCCATCGAATCTTTTCGAACCGCCGAATTTTCGCGCGAACAAGTGAATGATTCACGAATCCCCAAGCGTGGGGATAGATTCAAGGTTAGATTTTATAAACCGAAGTAGACATGCCTCGAAACTCGAAAAGAGAGATAGGCCTACTGGAGATATAACCTGGAGCTCATCGCATCGTCCCGATCGATTCGATGGAAAGGATGCAAGCAGCCGTCCGAGTTCGAAGCGTCCGAGTCCGTCCAGCCTTTCGGCTCCGTTCCGGCTACGATCCAAAATCTCGACGCGATCGTCCGACGATACGCGAGAGAGAAGCCGAAAGGCACGCTCACCGCGACCGCAGGGCGAACGGCAGCTTCACCTTGTCGAGGCGAAACGGCCCTCTTCGCTTTCGCATCGCGCTGCACCGAGCGCAACACGACGAGAGCATGCGCATGTCTCTCCGGTGGACCAAAACGGACGAAAAGGGACCCGTATCGCGTTCGAGAATCACAAGTACGGGAGAGTTCATGCACAGACACACGGATAGGAATCTAAACCGGTATGTGAACGAAGGGCAACCGAAGCCCGAAGAGAGTTTCATAAAACTCTGGGGCAGGAACTCGGAAAATATGATGAAAGGTGCTTTCTGGATGAGGATTACGACTGCGTCAGTCGTTCTTTGCTTTGCGATGCATATAAAACGTCGAATTCGTGCCGTTTTACACAGAATTTGCCGGTCTTTCGGCCGTTCGATCGTCGGCGTCGGTTGCGAGTTCCAAATTCAGCAACGCTGGCGATCGAGCAATCGAGCGCGAAGAATTTTTGGTACGGCCGATTTCTACGATTTTGAATCGTAACGCTCCGAGGGAAGAGTCGATTTCGAGACGTCTCGACCGTCATTTTCGGGTAGGATTCCAACGATATTCGTAGCACGCGTAGGGAACCGACCAATCGTGTTCTTTAGTTCGGTGCTACCAGGCTTTGGTAAGATTCGGAAAGAGGAGCGGTGGATGCTCTAAGTCGAGGAATAAAGATGGACGAACCTGCGGACAGGCGGGATATTCCCAGTCCAGGTCGAGGCCGTCGAAGCCGTATTTTTCGAGGAAGAGGAGGGCATGCTGGACGAATCGCGTTCGGGCCGAGGGACTGTTCACCAGCCGACTGTATTTGTTTCCTTCGGAATCGTTCCATCCCCCCAATCCGAGACTCACTTTCATACCCGTTTTCTTCCCGCGTTCCACGACCCTCTCGTAAAACTCTGGAAAGAAAAAAGAACCTCGCGGTGGAGAGAGTGCATCGCTCCCGCGACGGAAGGAAACGACGAGCAGACTGTTGTCGATGTCGGCCCAGGAGTCGTGAGGCTTCATGAGAAGCGTGGAGTAGTCCAGGACGGCAAAGGCATAGACAACGTGAGAGCAGTGGGTAGGATTGATGTCTTCGGGCATATACTTCGCTTCTCCGGGTCGATACCACGCCCAATTTGTGAAGTAACACACCACCATCTTCTTACTCTCTACAAGCCGTACACGAGAGAATGCGAAAAAGAAGTGTGAGATTTTCTTAGCCGCGAAATGAAGATCGTTTCCTCACGGGTCACGGAGCCGGGAATCTCCTTCACGGTGGGCAGACTGTAAGAAGAGGATAGAAGAGCAGGGGGAGGTGGAGTGGGACGGATGGGGGGAAGGGTGGGAGTGACAGTAGTGTGTGGGAGTTTCACCTCCTTTTCGCCCATTTCGAGTCTTCCAGGACAGTCAGATTTTTCTCGACTCGTGCACACTTTTTTGTCCTGCATACGCAAAGAGATAGAAGTTGAGGACGAGCGAGCGACAAAGAGGTAAGAGGGAAGAACGGAGACGGAAACCCAGTGGAAGAGGAGGGGAGGAGGACAGGACATCTTCCGCCATTCACCGTCTGAGCATCGCAGGAACGAGCCGCAGTCTCGGTCCACCCCCTTCTGATCCCCCGGGCTGCATCTCGTCGCCGTCTCTCCTAGCTCCACTGGAAGCAAACGATTCTCTCGACACGTGGAATCCGCGTTTCTCCGTTCTCGTGACGGACGGAAAGAAAGGGAGGGGAGACCTTTGAACCGACAGGAGACGCGGAAACTCCAGTCGCAGGTGAAAGTTTGCGGATTGAAATGCAGGGCCACCGGACAAGATTTCTTCACAAACACTCCCTCCGATGAACATTCCAGGAACTCGGAGCAGCTCGTCGTCGAAGGTTTCACCTCTCCCAATCGGCACGTCTCCGAGGATTCCGAAAAGTCATCATGGTACGGGATGGGCTCCGTCTCTGGGAGAGCTTCGCGATGCCTTAAATCCGCTTCGAAATATCCTCCTTTTTTTATCATTGATGACTCACCACACGACTTGGGCTGGGACGATCCGCAGACCCGAAGACCGGGATCGAAGTACATGGTTGGAGGGCAGGAAAAGCGATACCAAAAGCCGTTGTGACACTCCTCGTAGGTGTGACAATGACCGCTAATCTCTCGTCGACTCCCTTCGCCTTCGCATTCTTTCCCCGTGGGGATCACCGCCTCCTCTCCCTCTGATGCTAAAATCGGTTCGAAATGTCACACGATGGCACAATCTCAGTGGAACGGCTATTGAAGAACTGTTGGATCATTTCACGTCAAAGAACCAAACTATTGCTCGACCACTTCGAAAAAAATTGTGAAAAAATAATCAGGGGAACAGGTGGCCATCCTAATTCGGGAAAACCACCGTTAAAAAAATTATTGTCACCGCCGTTCCCTAAAACCAGCCTCCCAAAGAACTCACCTCTTGAAAGCTCTTCTTGACCCAACTTCAAATCCTTTTATTGCCTGAAGTAGCAGTTACATGAAAATAATTTAGACTTAAAATTCATTAATATTGAAAATTAAAATCCGAATTATGGCCGTAGATAAAAAGACTACATGAGCATGATCTTCACCCTACAACCATATGAAATTAGAATTTGCTTTCTCTGGGGCCTCTCAGGTAAGAAACATTCTCAGATTATTTCTGCTAAAAAGAAATTCCACCAATTTGCCAATTTGAAACAATCAGCGTTAATATGCACAAACTCAGTGTTTTTCAAGAATGTCAGTTATATGTTGGTTATATCTGTTCGAATTTCACAAATGTCCCACGTGGTCACTTTCGACCACTAGGTCGAAAATCGCAAAAAAAAGCAATTTCAAGAATCCCAAGGGATTCTTGAAATTCAACATATTTGTGGATCTTATACAGATTAACAAATACCCCAGCTTTGGTGTTGTTCCAAAATTTTCCACCGGGAAAATATTGGAGACCCAAAATATTAAACAGGGCAAGCTGAAGCAGAAAAGTTAATCTTTCATCGTGAATTATCGTGAAATTCGGATTTGGACTTTCAAGATTAATGAATTTCGAGTCTGATCTATTTTCTTGCGACTGATGGTTCGGGCAATAGGGTTGATGGTTCAGGGTTTGAAGTTGGGTGAAGAAGCGGTCCTGGTAAACCTTCTGGGCGGTTGGTTTCAGTGAGCCTGGGTGGATAAAGTCATTTTTTGCGATGACTTTCCAGAATTAGAAAGAAATCATGGTAATACGAGTTCGTCCTAACAATTTCGTAAGAGATGGTCGAGCATACTTTTGGTCATTTTTACGTGACCCTGATAAAACAGGAGCAAAAGCATATCCTCGCCGGCACGATGGTGGAAGATCGGCAATTTGATTAAGGGTACTGACTGGCGAGTGAGTCCGGAGGGAGGAGTGAAGGTGGTGGAGGGGTGACGGGTTCCGGGGGAGGATCACAACCGGGAATGGACGCCTTCGTCCCCTTCCCGAGTGACCGCATGGCGGCCGCGAGCAGCGGGAAAGCTCCCTCACAGCACACGTTGAGGAAATCCTCCATGTCCAGACTCCATAACGCCAATCCACCGAGATCTTCTTTCATCACGTATTCCCCCTGCAAAGGAACCCATATCGCACCCGACTGCAAATTCTCTTGTGATATCAGGGCCAGAAAATAGAAAGTTTTTCCAGCTTCAGCTCTTTCCCCTTCCAGAATCAGTGTTTCTTTTTCAAGCTTGAAAAAACGTTTTTTAAAATGATTCTAGTCAAGGAGACGGAAAACCCATGTACTACTATCTTTGGGGAAAGAAAAAAGGGTCTAACTACAGAAGATTGGTGGGGGGGGGGGGGGGGGGCAGGGGCCAAAAAATTCTGCCTAAAAAAAGGAGGATATTTCGAAGCGGATTTAAGGCATCGCGAAGCTCTCCCAGAGAGGGAGCAGGTGCCAAGAAATTCTGCCAGACCACCTTTTGAACGCCACCTGGTTACGGGTAACACTAAATCGCGACTTTTAGACCTCTGAAGAAATGGATTGGGACACTGTCGGACGCGTAGACGACCGCAGGAGGAAATCCACTACTGCATGAAGAATGGGAATCGAGAGAGGGAATAGGAAGACCCCCAAGGAAAGGTCAAAGAACTGAGTCATGAAATAGCTCATGCAGTAAATGAGAAAGCCTCTCCCTGCATCGGAAAGAAATATCTTAGTCGTGAATAGAGGGCATCCACACAGGGAGGTGGCAGTGCTCGTAGCGTCATTGTAGCAGGTATACATTTGTTTCGAAAAGGTGCCAGTATATCGTCCTTTTATTATTTACATCCGATAGCTTGCGACGCGCTTTTTTTTCTGCATATCACATTTCAGACGAACGAGGACAACTTCTGTCGAGTTCTCGTTTCGAATGTAAAAACTTCTCAAAGCTCAAGGAAGAAAAATCGCAGCCGAAAAAAGAAATTTCTCGCTGGCCCTTCTCAGGTACTCGAATTCGACTCGCTCCAACGGGGCTGAAAGCAGACGACGGACAGGCTCAGACATCGAGAATCAATCTATGAATACGACTGCTCTGCCTTTTTTAAATGCATGAAATGGTGCAAAATCTTCTACCAACACCAAGCGAACCTCATGCCTTTTGCGCGCAACATCTCAGATGAATGGTGTAATTTAGGACTACGGAAAATTTAAAAATAATTTAAAATGGAATTATGACCCAGACGGCAGGAGGTAAGTAGTATCGAGGATTTTGTTCCCCGAGACCACTTGTCGTCCGCGTTCTTGCCACGTTAGAGAGGGTTAACGTGGCCTGCTCGACGAAGATTAACAGCATGGAGATTGTTACTTCGCTTCTATTTCCGATAATTGGCAAAATTATCGTAATCGAAGCTAAGGCGAAACATAATGCGAGTCTCTCTTGGCCGAGGAGAGGGTAGGAGGAAGGAAGGAACTCTTGAAACAGGAGGGGAGGGGGAGGGGGGGGAGCAGATCCACGGAGGGAAAATCCAACACATAAAAAATTTGGGAAATTCTTTCTAATTAACACCGCTCTGCGGAAATTAGATAGTTTCCTCCGTAGCGACAGTGCTCTTAGTGCTCAGTTTTTCCTCTGTCATGACTTAATCTTCCTCAAAAAAAGCAAGAAACATTAAAGCTTTTAAGAAAGCGTACGGCGGTAACATCTTCGGAAGTTCATGGTCTCGTGAGAAAGGTTATTCTTTAATTTTGCTAATCAATAGCATAATTGTCACAGGGTGACAATTCATAGTTCATGGACACATTTGACTGGCTAATAAATTGTTTTATTTGGTTAGTACAAATTCAAGATACCAAACATTTGAAAGAACAAAGTGGAAATATTGTTGGCATACAAGTTTCATAAGTTTATAAAAATTACTGATGTCAGGTAACTTCCACCAAAATGTATGCATTCACTGCAGCGAAAAAAAAATTTCCCACGACCAGCTGAAGAGTTTCAGGAGAAATGAGGTTTATTTCGTCTCTGATGTTTTTCAGTTCAGTTAACGTTCGTGGTTTAGTCAGATAGACCTTGGACTTTAGGTAGCCCCGCAAAAAAAAAAGCCGGGAGCAGGCTGCCATACAAGCATCGAAAAAATACAACTTTTACCGGAGACATTTCTAAATCTTGTTTCGAGATTTGGAGACATTCTATGGCCATCCCGATAACCTGATCTAACCGCTCCAGACTTTTTTTTAGGGGGTCCAAGGTCTACCGGACTAAACCACGAACGTTATCCCTTATCCGGGCAAGGGCAAAGGTCCATAGGACCACCCTCGTATTTCATTTCATTACTCTCCGCAATTTCAATCTCCGCAAAATATTCTTCAAATTCGATATGGATTTCATCGACATTCATCCATAGATTAAAAAACGAATTTTCAAAGTTTGGATTTGCTTTCAAGGAAAAAATTATAAAAATGTTTGGCCCTGTCCGTTTGTGTCACAAAAATACCTTGCCCGGATAAGGGTTAACTGAACTGAAAAACGAGGAGAAATAAACCTCATTTCTCCTGAAACTCTTCAGCAAGTCATGGACAATTTCTTTTTTTTCGCTGCCGTGAATGCACGTTTGGGTGGAAGTTACCAGACATTAGTAAAAAAAATTAAAAAATGGAAAATATGAATGCCAACAATATTTCCACTTGATGTTCTTTCAATTTTTTGGTATCTTGAATTTGTACTATCTAAATAAACAACCCAAGCAACACATGCATATAAATGACGTTTATGCGACGTTACCGCAACGTGACTTGGCTCAAGTCAAGTTGCAGCAACGTTTCAGGGACGTCACGTGTTGCTTGGGAGTTTATTAGCAAGTCAAATGTGTCCATGAATTGTCACCATGCACTATTTACAAATACTACAACAAATACAAAATACTACCAAAGTGAATGACGCAATGAATTGTGCGAGTAAAGAGTGCTCCTTTATCTCCTCCCATACATGTGTAGCTTTCTAGCTAGCTCTTTCTCGTTTCACTCACCCGATAAGCCACGACTGTAATTCGGTAACATCCTTCAGGCGATTCCCCCACGACGTCCCTTATGAGACCAATCATTTAGATTTTCGTTCACATTTTAAAGAAAATTGGAAGCGTGCACGAAGATCTAAATGGACATCCGTGCACTCTGCATTACTTGTCATTGCTGCACGGATGAAAGCGACTTCGGGGATGCGCGAGTCGCTAGGATTTCGAGCGAATGGGAGAAAAGACTCTCGATGAATCGAAAATCAGGAGTAGCTTTCAATTGAGAATCGTGTAACCCTGAATTCTCGCGATGCAGGAAGCAACGACTTCGAGTGCAAACGAAGAGAAAATGAGGATCCCACATGCCGACCGATTAAAATAATAAGCTCTCAAAAAGCATTAAAGATGCCTTCTACGAGAAGGAACTTCCGGACTGCGCAAGGTGTTAAGAAATCTTCTGGAATTCTCTCAATTCCGATTACCTGAGGTTTAGTATCTAAATTCAACAACACTAGCGGTATGGATATTACTTTTTCTGCGGTTTTGAATCCCTGCGGATGATTTGCGTGCAAACAATTAAAACCGTTTTTACCTCTCGATGAAACGACAGGATGTTCTATCCCGGAGGGAAATTTCATATTTTCGCTCCGTCTCTTTCTACTGCGTTCGTTGTCGTGTAGGAATCCGACCGAAAACACGATCGAAGATATCCGTGCAAAGAATAATAGAAGTGGACGTTGCTCGAACGGAGGAGGTCGTCCGATTCGTCCTCGTAGAAAAACCGAGACTAAAAAAAGATATCGGACGTGCGTTACCTTCCTTTGGATGTCCAACGGGGAATTGAAGGAAACCAGCTGAGATCCCTTGTAGGCGAGAGCATTCTCCGCATCCGTCGTGCTTTCCTTTTTCTTCCAGCCATCCTTCTTCACTGCAAACAAATCACGGTGAAACCTGTCGATTCGAGTGGCAAAACTATCGTCGTGTGCTTTTCTTATACTTTTGAAAGGGTTCGCCTCTTTCATCCCTTTCACCTCGTGAAGGTTATACCCCTTCACCTCGTGCCACTTTCACTGCCATGGGCTATGTCCATGGCAGTGAAAGTGCCTCGAGGTCTCTGTCTCGCCTTAGCCTGCCTACTCCTTTAAATATGGTGGCTCTTCCAACCTTGGAGGATTCGAACAGTGCTCGTCTCGATACACACATCCGTGTGTCCCCCACCGTAGTGCGAAGGACCAGAACTGGTCCCTGGAACATTTTGAGACATTTTGAGGGGAGACGTGTGCTGGTAAGCTTCTGTGGTACCGTTTCGATGTTCGTCTCGGACCACATCCGGCTCTACTTCTATTCTCTGTACGTTCGGCTTTCGATGCGTCTTAGACTCTCGTCATTCGTCTCTTCTCCCCCATACCGCGCTTTCTTTCCTCGTCCACATCGCCTCAGTCTTCGAGTCCGGTGACCTCCATAGGAGGATATACTCGTATTAATATCTGTATTTGTTAGGGCGAACCAGGAAACTCTCGTCATCCAAATGCATAGAGTATCCGTCTTCACGCTTCTTCTCACTCGCCACGCATTTTTCTCGTGGGTCTTTTTACGAACCCTCGTTAAACACCCTATCATTCCTGAAGCCCATCCAGAATAGAACGCCAGCCACCTGACACCATGGAACTCGATGGGAAACGTCAGTTTTTGCCAGTTTGACGCTCTGCTCGATTCTTGCCGAAGTCGAACGAAGAGAGGACCGAGGAGAGCTTCTAGTCTCAACCGTGCCTATCGGTGGCCATCACAACAAAGAACTACCACAATTGGGTACTCTGTGCCTGCTTAGTAGGAGCCAGAGGACCACCGTCGGGCCGTGTATCGGTGTCACGACCCGGTCCACTTCCGACGACTCGCTTCCTGTACGACGTAATATTGGATCACGTGCAGCGTTCCTTCAGGGTTTTCCCTCGTCGGGTTTTGACAACTTTATATTCCACGTCCAGTTCATTCCCTCAGTCTTGGTCTTAGTCTGGTGTGCCACTCGATCGCAATGCCATGACACTCGAGAAATGCGATGTTTACCTTGATTACCTTATGAGATGTTAGCATCATTTCGGCAACTTTGTTCCATCTTTAAAATGAAATGGAAAAGCATGGCTGTTGCTCAAAGTACGCAATCGACAGCATTTTTTTTTTACCTATTGCACACAATTTTCTTACATCGCTCATTCCATGGTACGAGTGGTAAAGCGGCGGAGCAACGAACGACGGTTGCCCGATTTCGTGAAATCGGGAAAAATGTTGCTCAATGCGCTGAACGAGCAGTCGTACGAATCCCGCTTGGCACGTGTTTGGCGTCATATATGGCACGTGAAGTGGAACGTATGCCCCGTCGTTCTCGAGGGATGCATCGAAAGCGTGGACGACACTGGCGCAAGGTGAATGAGGAGTGGAATGTAACAAAACGTGTCTTCCACCATTCTTCCAGATTCTCCCTGCTCGGTTCAAATCGAGCGCCAGGAACGGAGTGAGCAGGAGAAAAGCCATCGAGGCTCTCGACTTCTGGTAGGGAAGATCGAAGGATCTGTGGACACCTTCGAAGGTTCTCCGCGTGAGCCCTATTACGGGTGGGAAATCGGCAGAGAAAGAACGATCGACGAACCTTTGAGACAGATCTCGTGGTACGAGAGAAGTCCCGGTTGACGGGTGAAGGGACCGGGCGACCCGGGGCCGACCGACGAGATGGATCCCTCGGAATTCCCCCCGGTCTCCAAGTCCTCGCTCGACTGGAAAGCCTGTCCGAAACTCGGGATCCCGACGACGACTTCGTCCTTCTTCGCTCCCCTCGCCAGAACCTCTTTCACCACCCGCTCCTACGGAGAACGAAAAAGAGAGAAAAAGTTGGATGTTGACGCTCGCGATCCGAACCGGAGCAAACACGGGCGGGAAAGGGGCGAGAGCAAACGCTTTCAACGGACTTAATCCCGGCAAACGATTCCTCGGATCTCTCATCCATCCGTAAAGGAACGACCGGCATAGTTTAATTGAGGCTCTTCGGGTGTTTTCGAAGTTTGGGTCGGGACGCGAAGGGGAAGGGCATTTAGGATAAGCCTACCCCTCGGAGTAAATGTCTTCGGCGAGAGCGCGTCGACCCACCGTCTAGTTCTCGAGTTTTCCTCATCGTTCGTGTTTAAAAGGAGAATCTCCTTAATTCGAAATTCAGAGGACCAAAAAATGTCGGGTTCGAAACATCACATTTACCCTTTTATATTACTTTACGTTGCCTCGTTCGACCCTTGACAGTAGTATAACACTTCGTGCGTGACGAAGTGAACCGTTGATATCGAAATAAAACAAGACGGTGTAAGCAAACGCAAAAGATGACCCGGTTTCGATTCTTGTATTAACGCTACCGTAATTCACGTACACATCGCATCGGCGTCGACGATAACACGGATATGTTACACGGGCGATGTTGCCACGTCGACGGGAAACGATCTTTCGTCACAAAGGGGAGAGGGAATTTTTAAGGGGGTGTTTGTCTCAAAGCAATTCTTCGGAACGACGAAGGGAAGTTTCCAAGAAGACGATTAGCTGGCCTTGCAGCCACTCGGAATGCGAGGTTTGGGATACAAGGTCGCTCATGCCAAAATAAGTCAACTAACTACTTTCATATGAGTTCATAGGTCGCGGGACCAGAAAATGCGTTGGAACTCGAAATGAGCCGTATTTCGAATCGTCGCGTCGATGATTCCCGAATGCTCACTAATTGCATTATCCGATTTCGAATTATTCAGATTTTCATTTTTTATTTCATTAACTTATAACGATTCGCGTTGCTTCTTGTTCCTTTTTTTTTCATTTATTCCATGGAAGTATCTCACTTCCACGGAAGGGGCAGTGAAGACGTCTCCCCGAATGCATCTCCCCATCTCCCCCCCCCCTCCTCATCGAAGAAAGAAGTCGTCAGACAACCTTGTTCCACTCGAGGCGGACCTGTCACGTATTCGTTCCCCTCGTTCTCCCCTCACACGATAACTAATTATCCTCGCAGATGCACGAAGAGACTCGTCGCGATGGTGAACGATGCGGGCCCCTTCGCGTTCGCTCTCGTGGAACGTCACGAGTCTGTTTTCGCTTCGCTCCGAGTTCCTCCCGATCGAGAGCAATAAAAGTATAGGATGAATAAACGGTGGACGTAACGCAGGAATGCCTGCGGCCGTTTCACCTCGCCCCTGGGGATTCCGATCCGGACTACCGCGAACACTCGGTTCGTCATCGCTCTCTCTTCCCTTCCCTCCGTGGGGTGACTCGTCCGACCTCGAATCCCGTGCGCCTCCGATCCGGCCCGCAACCTCTCGGGACGCATGGCATCGCAGGCGTTCGCGAGATCTCGGAAGACGATGACGTCTTCGGAGACTTCGTCTCGTCCTTCGCTCGATCGTAGAATTCGAGGAGACCGGTTTCGGCGATCACCTCGCCTCTCGGAGCCGTGCCGAGACTCCCCGACGGACGAGTGCATCTCGATCCATTCGAGGACTCGGATTCCCGTCGTCTTTCCCGGAATGCTCGAGACTCTTCGGTCTGCAATCTCCAGAATTGCTTCTCAAAATTCGAAACGAAGTTCGCCGATTGCCGATCCCCCGAAAAATGATGTTCTCGGAAATGATTATTTTTGGTTCGGATCGGTCTCTCGATGACGGCGCGGAACCGACACCGAACGTGTACGTTTCGAACGCTTCGATCGCACGAAGCGAACGAGATGAAGTTTAACATTCGAGAGCGAAATGCCGTCGCAGTATGGTACCGAAATAGACGAATGGGGTCTGCCGTGATCTTCGCGTTCCCCTTCGCATCGGATAGACCCGGGCAACGATCGGATGCCTGCCGACGGGATGGCAGTCCCGTCTGGGGTCTCGAATCGGCGCGCCCTTCGCCTCGGTCGTGACGCCGGTTCCGTCGAGTCTTTCTTTCCCTTTTCGGAGACGTTCCACGGGTTCGGTCGCAGAGGGGTACGGTTCAGAACGCGCATCGTCGAGAGCGAATCCTCGACCGACGACAGGCTCCGTCGAGCGAAATGCGATACGTCGGCCCTTACGATGCTGGGATGCGACGGAGAAGAAGAAGAGACGGGCGAGATGTGATGGGCGTGGCTGTCCCAGGGCGATCCGAAGGCCCACGTGCCCAGCACGTAGAAATCCACATTTTCTCCCAGAGCTCGAAGGTCGTATCCTCGGTCCAGGATCTCCGTCGTCGGTGGAAGAGAGACCGAGATCACCGCATCTTTCAGCTCCTTTCTCAATTCCTGGAAGATAAAAAGGCGTGCAGGACATGCAGACGTCGTCGCCTCCGTCGGCCGGCCGTCGACCGCCGATCGCCGAGTCCCGTTCCTCCAAAAATACTCATTACGATATGGCTCGTATCGGTCTCGCGCACGCCTTCTTGGTTTTTAATTTAATTTTTTTTTTGTTTACAAATAGGATCTGCTTTTTGGTGTGGGACCCGAATTCCCCGGCGGGAACCTAGCCTCACCGTTCGAGTCGGATCGAACGTGACATCGAATGGAAACGAGATCACACGAGGCGAACCCACGAAATGTCCATTCCCGCCGAAACGCGGAAGGCAGAAAGTCCGATTGCCGATTAGAAAAATGTCCAATACCTAAATGTCGAACGAACGAAATGGCGAAAGCGACCGCGTCGAATGAGAGAAACGGTCTTCGTACCTTTTGCGACTCGTCGATTAACGATCGGAAGAAAATCTTTAGGTTGGGATGAGTCCCGCCCGCGATGACGATCAACGATGCACGCGAGATGCGTGGGTGTAACGCACTTTTCGTGGTTCTCTCGTCGGTCCCATCTTTGCGAACGCCACGACTCGTGCAGGGTGACGGCAGTTACGACGACGAGGATAGGCGGTCTCGTTCTGCTGGAAAGAACGCACGGTTTCGCCGTCTGTCGACGGATTGCGAAGGAGTGTTGCCCAGGGCTCATCGACACGACCAGCCCTTGCCGGTGCAAACGAGCGATGGGTGCATGGAACATTCTTCTTCGTCCCAAGGGTCGACGAGGTATCGTCTCGGCAGGAATGCTGCCGAGGAGAACGGTAAATCGTCGACGAAACGAAAACGATTCCCTTCCTCGAGTTCCCTTTCTAAAAAGAGGAACCATCGCATGGATTTGCCAGTTCGTGCGTGTCGTGCCCGATTCCCGTGGGATCTGACGCATACCGTGGAACGCGACGAGCACGCATCGGGGTGGATCGCTCTCGGCACATCTGCCCGGATATCGCCGATACGAGGAGATTTTTCCTTCTTTCGGCTAACGAAGTTATAGAATTTCCTCGATGGTGTGTCTTTCTTATCGGCTCGGTGTGCCTCTCGCACGCCCTCGAAGGGTCCGACCGGTACCGGACGAATGAACCCTTTAGACTGCTTCTCGGTGGCGGCAAGGCCGACGCAAGGCCGACGTACCCCTCGTGTCCGCTCGGTGTCGACGTGGACGTCCCCCCCCCCCCCCCCTCCCCTCCTCGATTTCCTTTCGCTACACACCCTCGCCGCTGCAGCCGAAACGCCACATCGAAACGGATCCCATTTCATCTCTGGCAGAAGTCTCGCGAAACGGCCGCGAACGCTCTCCGTCGATCGACCTCACCGACTCGTGACGAGTTTTCCGATCGCTTCGGACTTCCCACCTCACCCGATTCACGACTTGCATGGTTTTAGTCGCGTTCACGAGGCTATTCCGCGAGTCGTGGCTCTCGGTCGAGTCCATGGGAACGTCTGCAGGTTCCCGATATCCATCGCCCGAGTCGTTCGACTCTCGGTTCTGCTCCCGGTCTGTCCTCGGGGCATCGTACCTGAGGTACGCTTTGGCCCGAGCCGAGCCTCCATCTTCGTCTCCACGCGTCGGTGCCGGAGTTCCCAGCAAGACGTCTCCTGCAGACTCCTACGAGAGTCGGATTCGTCCATCTCCGAACCGAATGCGTCATCGCGATCGGTCGATTTCGAAACGACGGTCGCGACCGTCGTCGAAGGAGAATCGCGCGAGCGAGAGGCCGAGGCTGAAGTCTTTCGCATGGATTTCTTTCGACGCGGGAAAAAGGATTCGGACGGACCCTTATGAAGAGGGAGAAGTGGAGACCGTCGGAAGGAGGCCCCTGTTGGCAGTCCCCCTGCCAACAGACGGGATGTTGCCAGTCCAAGTGGATCCCGTCGTAACCCTCTTCGAGGATGTAGTCCTTGATGTTTGCGGCCAGCTCGGATCGCGAACCTTCGTCCCGGAGGACGAGGGAATACCCGGGGGAATTCCCAGAATCCGTCCAGCCTCCCAGGGCGAACAAAAGCCGAGTGGCACTCCCGCTTTTGTCTCGGGCTTCTCGCACTCGTTTCACGAATCCTGGCGACGGAAGAAAAATGTTTCTCCCCTTCCCCAAGGAAAACCTCACCGCGAGATCTTAGGTCGATCGAAATTCTCTTCAGGCACTGATTAGCGGAGGGAGAAAGGGAATTCTCGAAGGGGAAGTTAGGAAAATCCGAAGGAAAGCTCTTAATCTAGAGTCCTTTCTACATATGCATTTATTTCGGCATCCCCAGAGACATCCTTTCTTCCCCCGAACTTTCTACGGGCTCGTTTCTCTCGATCCCCTGATCGAACCGTGATGGTAGTCGGTGAGGGCGTCCATGGCCTTAACCGCCAGGTTCTCGGGATCCAGGTGGAGGAAGGCGTAGACGAGATGAGAACAGGAGGAAAAAGGGATCCTCTCCGGAACGAATGAGGCACCCGGACGGGTCCGGGACCAGGAGGAAAACCAACACACCGTCCTCTTCTCCTCTCTCTCTCGCCTCGTCGTCGTTCTCGTCGCCTTCCCTGCACGGATCGAAGGATCATCGAGGGGGGACTAAAACGGCATCTCCGAGACGGGATCCACGTTCGAAGGGCGACCTGATTCGTGGCAGGTGGCAGATCCCCGAGGAAGACATAGATGGTACAGAGGGTCGAAGGAATACCCCGGTTGACAGTCCTTAAGGATGGCTTCTCCATCCGAGCATTTCACGTATTGAGAGCAATTTGTGGGATTCTGCCTGGTTATTCCGTCCTTCCCCGCGCAAAACTCACTCCAATTTCTTCCTCTCCTCTTCGTTTCTCCTTCTTCGTCGCCTATTTAGGATAGCATGCGAAAAAAAATTATTTACGCTTGGAGTCTTCCGGGTGCGTACACGTTTCATATCCTGGCCTTTTTCACACTCGAGCAAAAACGAGATATCGTCGCGAAACTGCGATTCGGAGCTACCGTCGGGATCGCTGGAGAGCCGTCTCTTTTCGATTCGGGAAGGGCACGATCCATTCCGTTCGCATTTCTTTTTAAAACGACATCTTCCCGGCTGAAACGGAAATCGGAAACCCCCTCCCGCGATGGAGGGTAAGAATCGGGCGGGATCATGCCCCGATTGCAGATCGGCAACGTCACTCACGAGACGAGGCCGCAGGAACTATTTGCATCTGTGATTCGCGGGCATCACGATAGATTCGGAAAGCAAAGAAGACGCCGACTCTTCCCCGCGGCTGACAGCATTTTTAAGATTTCCCGTTCCCTCGAAAAATCAACGATGTCGACGGATTCTTACGGGAATTAAATCGATTCCCGAACCCGCTTCGCTTCCGATCGCCGTCCCAAAGTTTCCTCGGCTTTTGGAACGTCTTCCTTCGTCGACCTCGCTTTCTTCCGCGGAATGCAAAAACTTCTTGCCGTTTTTCTCACTCGATGAGCAAACTGGTTTTTAAGCCCCACGTCGGTACGATCGCATCTCGTAAAAGGCGTGTCCTACGTGGATTCGATGGGAGAGGCGCACGTCGAGTCATCGTGTATATTTTCGAGGGACTCCATTCCGACTCCATTCCGGCTCCATTCCTCGTCGTTCCTCTCGTCAGCTTAAGATTTTTCCCGCTCCAAGTGCTTCTAGTTTGAACGAAACTGCGCGGAGATCGTCGCGGTTCATCCGATTTGGCGGAGGGGAAAACCCGATACGTTGAAATAATGAAGACGAAAAGCGTCAGTTTGGAAGAACGCAGACGTAGCTCTTTCCCCTCGCGAGTCGACGATCGCCTCCTGCCTCCCCGTTTTCTGTCTTCCGTCTAGCGTCCGGTCGATTCTCCGAATCGCAAATTCCCCAACGGTCGGCTTCCCGTTTGGAAAATTCTCCAACACGTAAATTCCCACGAATTCTCCGACGGCACGACGGAACGGCGATACGGATACGATTCGACGGCCGACGACGAAAAACGGCTTTTTCCAAATAGATCTTTTCGCTTCGAAATTTCCCACCGACGAACGAAGGAAATGTCGCCGGACGATCCTCTCGGCCACCGGTCACCGACGAGACGGCCGACGAGACGTCGAGAGGAATCCGAAACGGTACGAGTATCCGGAAGAGCCAGCCGGTTCGGGGAGCAGATCGTCACGCGGTCGGCCGAAGGACGAAACGAGAACGTGGAGCGAGTTCGAGTTCCATTTCCGACGGGGAAATGACAGGAATTTTACATCGAACCGTTCGCTCTTCCTCTGGAAGGGGGGAAGCGGCAGGAGACCGTCTCGTCGACGACGTGTAAATCCCAGGGGGACGCGGAATCGCCGTGCGAACGACGGGCTCGGGCCCGGTGAGACGAGGTGCACGTCGGTGGGGTCGGAGCGACGACCCCGCCGTGCGTCCATCGCGGCTGCTGCCCTAAGGATGCGATCGTCTTCCTTCGTGCGATGCCTCGTCCTCCGAAGTCTTCGCTCCCGATCCGACCGGAAATCGGGGTCGAGGCTGCGTGCCTCCGTCGTGACGTTCGAGTCAAGCCCGTGCGATTCGCCTCCTCGGTCCCGCCGATACGCTCGAGTTCCCGACTCGGAGTACCTTCGATTTCCATAGGACTCATTAGCTGCTCCCTTCGGACGGGGAGCGTCTTCCGTTCGACAGAAGTACGTCACGTTCGGCGGTATATCTTCGTCCGGAGTCCAAAGCGACACCTTCCCTTCGAGCCGTCGGAATCGTGTCGTATCGTCGCGTCGCTCTCCTACGTTCGACCCGAACCAAACTCGCGTGATACCATGGAGTGTTCTTTTTTTGCAGGTAGAGATTTGGAATCGCGCGACTGACCTGCAAATGCCATGGCGATTCCAGGGCGATCGCCGTGTCGATTACGTATGGCAATGCGATGTCATTTACAGCTGGTAAAATTTGAACGAGAAATTCCATGGAAACGACAGGTCAGTTACTCATGGCAACGCCCTGTAGTCGTTGCGATGGAAATTCCAGGTCCAATTTTATCACCTGTAAATGTTTTTGTTCGGCAGGAAGGAGCGAGCGGGAAGACGATGGAGTTCTGCGCGTGTCGCCGAGGTGGCGAGTCGCACGGAACGACGAGAGATCGGATGCGTTCACGAGTCGACGACCACCGCGAGCGCGAGGAAATGGAGAACGGAAAGGACACCCCATCGCCTTTCCCGTGCGGGTACCGGGACTCACCCGTCTGTCGTGGACGCGTTTCGCCGTGCCGGCGACGGGACGACCGAATCGATGCGGGGTGGAAACTCTCCTTTCGACGTCCGTCGGGTACGGAAACGAAAACGAAAGTGCGGGTCGCAGACGAGGAGGAAGGAAGAGACGAAGGGGGAGACGAGGGCGACGGACCCGTGTCTCTTCGTTCCGCAAGAATCGTTTTTCGTCCGCTTCCTTTGGCCCGGGGCTGCATTCGCCCCGTCGAGACGGTCGACTGTGAGCCCCTCCAACGTCGGCAGTTTTTTTTTTTCTCTCTTTTAACGAGAGAGGGAGAGAGAGAGGGGGGAGGGGGGGCGACCTCGGTATAAGGGCAAGGAGGACCGATGCCGGTCGGACGAAGGGAGATGGGAAGATGGCCCTGTCTTCTGCTGGGACTCGTCTGCAGGAACGCGTAGGTTCGAGCGTAGGTCGGAATGGCCATCTGGATCTTCCCGCTCGGGACCCCTTGGGACACCCACCATCGGATTCCGGCATCCTTGCGAGAGCACGCAAAAAGCAAACCTCACGTCCTCGCTCTCTATCGTACGGACGAACGGGACGAGAGAGAGAGAGAGAGAGAGATTTCTCACGACGTTCAGACGTTGAGGTTGGGAGACCTGAGGAAGGGGCCAGAGGGGGGAAGGGTGCTTGAAGGAAGAGAATTGCGGATCCGAGGGGTCGACGAGGTCGTAAGTGGCCACCGTGATCCAGTCCGCGTGAGGATGTAGGTTCGAGGCGTTGTAGGAGACCGCGGCCACCTGTCGATCCCCCGACACCTTGAGTCCGACGAGGTATTCCCTTCCGAGTGCCACCCGAGTCTCGCGTAGCAGGGCTTCCATGCCTCGCCGCGTCTCCGCCGTCTTCTCCTCGGCGTCTGCAAGATCGAGAGGGCGTCGTCACGCGACCGAGGAAGACGAGAACGACGACGACCTCGAGAGACGAAAGAATCGCAGACCGGGTTCGTTCCAGTCGAATTCGATGCCGTCGAAGCGGAATCGGGTGAGGACGTCCAGGATGGAAGAGACGAGTTTCGAGCGAGACTCCCGTCGAGACGAGACCTGAAAGAATCTCCCGCCGTCCCTGGATCCGCTGCGAAGGGCGAGCACGATCTTGAGGTCGGGATCGAGGCGATCCCTGACCTCGGCCGCCTCGGTCCAGCCTCCTTCTGTTCCCCGTCGCCGGAGAAATGCACCCGTGAGTCGCGAGACGACGGGACTGCGAAAACTCGAGGAGAGCGAAGCGACAGACCGGGTCCGAGATCCACGTGCGACGCGATGGATGCGACGGTCCCGGCCTCGCCGATCTTGGCCTGGCTGTACACGAGATGGGTGCACATCCGAGCGTTCGTCATCGACGGCTTGAACGCGAAGGGAGGAGGCCTCTCGCCCGACCACGAGGTCACGTGGCAGATCACCCGGTATCGCCTCCCTGAGAGGAAAAACGGTCTCTATCTACTTCTCCCGTCCTTCGTCTATTTCGAGCTCGAAGAACCGGAGGAAGGGAGACAGAATGGGGAGGGAGGATGGAAACGACGGACGCGTGCTCTGGGGAGGACACGCGATGAATAAGGGACTCTAATTAACGGGTTGTCATTCCCCGAATGACACTCACTCGTCGGCTGTCCGTCGCGTTTGGATCCGGTCTTCCCTCTCTCTCCGACTGCATCCGACAGGAGGAGGAAGAACGACACGAAGAAGAGGAACGGTAGCAAACACGGACGTCTTTCCATCGTCCTCGCGGCTCCCACGACCCTCGGCTGTGACTGCGGGGAAAGTGGATTGCCCTCTCAAATATTTTTTGGTCGGTGTCATCGACCGAGACAGGAATGAGGACCCTCGCGTTCGTGAAGGCGTCGATTGAGGGGGGGGGGCGACGACACGATCCGACCCCTCCCTTCCCACGACGGAATTCTCACGTCGTACCCGTCCTCCGTCGGTGACAGTACCTCATGAATCAGACGACTTTATGACCGACGGGGGAAATCGGAATCCAGATCCTCTGCACCGACGGCTCCGTGCGAGGTGAACGACTCACCGCGAGGTCGCAAGAGTCACCGACCCGACGTCCGACCTTCCGTACTCGTAATTTATCGCTTTCGATCGAACGTGACTTTATTTTCGTCGGAATTCCCACGCCCCAACGTTCGGCGAAGAGCTCACGATGCGAAGCGCATACGACGCGTATCATCCGCCAGATGTTGCTTCTCGATCGATCCGAAAGAACTCGTACCCGGACTCCGTTTTCGCCTTCCGTTCCATCCGGTACGAACGAAACGACACGCGACCGAACTTTGGAAAGGCTCCACACTCGATTTTTCTTCGGAAGTGATCTCGATTTCGTCGCGATCGATGGAATTCGCGTAACGGACGAGGGAGTGGGTGGCACGAATGCGAGAAACCGTTAAGAGTGGATGCATGGGATGCACGGGATGCGTCCACCCCATTTTCGGGAACACATCGTACGAGATCGCGTGATGTCATCGTCGTATCCGACTCGGTCGCGAGAGCTTCGAAGGAACCGTTCCGTCCTTCGAGAATCTACGGACTCCCACGGGGGAAAAAAGAGCCCTTCGGCTTTAAGGCCTCTTCGTCTCGCCGAAATGAGCTTTCGGAATCGAGACCCGAGTCTTTCCTCTCGAAAAATTTAAATCGCGTTTCGCCGAATCGATCCATTTCGATGCGGAATTCCGGGATCCCGGAAGCAAAAATGACGAGGTTCGAGGGGCGAACGTACCGACCGACCGGAAACGAAATCGCGAATCGAGTCAAGCGACGGATTCCGTCTGGATCGTGGGCCGAACGTTTCTCTCGAGGAATGTAAAATCCAACGATCGGAACCGGGTGGGAAGAACGGGATGAGGCAAATGACATCGACATTCCTTTCCTAAAAGTTCCTGCGAATTATGGCGCATATAAGAAAATGAGAAGAGCCAACTTAAACCAAAATGGTTCTTCGATTCACCACTCCCCCCCCCCCTGCCCCCCTCCCCTAAATGAGGAATCTGAGGGTGCGACATGGACCGGGGTCATTCCATCCTCATTCACACATTCTCATCTTCCATTTTTGTTATTTTGTCAGTGCGAGATGGGTTCGAGGCGCCCTCTGGAATGCCTCAACTTCATCCCATGCTTCGGTTTAGGAGTATGAATCTTTCACGATGAGATACTCTCAGTATTCTCAGTTCATCTAGATGATTAATTTTCACTCTCGTGTAGCATCACGATAACTCGAGAGGCGAGTTGCATCCCTTGCATCCGTTTCATCCCTTTGCATCCCTTGCATCCGTTTCATCCCTTGCATCGTCCTCTCGAAAGAGGACGATGGAGCTCTGGCATCTATGTGTCTCATTTCATTTAAACTTCCGTGTCGTTGTTTTCTTTCGGCTTCAGAGTCAGGAAATGCTCACTTTCTTTCTACGTTAGACCACGATCTAGTAGAACATTTTCATCATTTCGTC